CTGCTTCCTTTCCTCCCCTTTACCTCTGGCTGCTTGTTGAAGGAGAGAGGGAGAATCCATGTAAAGTTTGTGTGTGTGTGTGTGTGTGTGTGTGTTTTCTGATTAGAATATTTGTTTATTTGCAAGTGAATATGTCCAAATATGAATTTGTGGGCTGTTGATTGAAAAGTCTGCAAAGTCCACCACATATCAGACATCCACCAGGGTTTGATGTTGGAATGTTAAGATGCATTTATTCATAGTGAATTATATTTTTATACAGGCAAAATTAAGTAACATTATAAAAGTGAACAATGACATGGCATTAAGTAGTCACACATTTATAAATATCGAATTCTTTAAAGTTGTAAATGATAGTCAGTGATAGTCGGTCCATAATTCATATTTATTTATTTGGCCAATAAACAGGCTCTGTGTGTCTTTTTGTGTCAGAATTCGTCCATTTTAGCTCAGTTTGGATTTTTTTGGAGGGGAGGCACCATGCCGTGGCAACACTCCAGTCACCTGTTACCTGCCAAGAGAGAGTCACACAAAGAAGAGAGATTTAGATAGTATGGAAGTCAGTTTGTGTGTGTGTTTGTATTCCTAGTAGGAATGCAATATACCTCTTGGACCAAACTGCTTCATGTAGCAGTATGAACAGTACGGCTTCTCATCATACTGAAAGATAGTCAGTAAGACATATTTACTGAATTATTCTACTTGTTCTTTCATTCTTTTTCCTACTATTTTCCTTATATATTTTCTTGTTCACTCTCCTTATATACCTCAGCATGTTGCCCAGCTGTGAGTTGCCTGTTACATTTTTGACACTTCAGACACAGAGGGTGGTAGTCCCTCCCCAAAGATCGCTTCTTCTCACCTAGAACAATTAAAAATTAGGGTTGTGTTAATGAGAGGTAGGCTGGAATTCTGCTCCTGAATATTTATACAAAAGGTCAGAGGAGTTTTGCATTTTCACACATACACTATTTTTTATGACATCAGGTCTGGGTGGTTTAAAATGTGTAACAATCAGGTCAAATAAATAATCAAATTCATTCATACATTCATCTTCTATACCGCTCAGTCCTAAACGGGGTCGCGGGGTAAATAATAAAAAAGTTTTAATTTAATTCATAAGAAACTGTGAATCAAGTATCTGGTTCAGAATGTACAGACTCTTCCCCTCATGAGCACAAATAAGCCAGAGATTGTGGAGTTGAAGGAAAAGAGGTAAGTAGGCCAGGTCACAACAGAGAATTTGAAAAGTGCAGCTACAGTAGCAGTAAAACATCAGTGAAGCATATTCATAAGTGATGATTTCAGCGCTGTTGTGTGTCTAATAGTGAGATCTGAGTGAGTGTGTGTGAACGGACTTGGCTAAAAGAGATAGAAGGTAAGGAGGAAACCCAGAGAGCAGCCTGCAAGCTTGTCTGGGTAGACCCACATCCTGTTATCATCATGAATTCATGTGTATGTGCATTTTCAATGTGCTTGAAAGAGAAGCAGAAAGCACGAGAGAGAAGTACTTTTGTCCTCTGAACACAGAATAAATGTTAATCAAACATTTTTAGCACATACCTAAAAGGATAGCATTTATATTTTTTCAAAGCAAATATTTTGGCTTGTCTTAGCAGGAAAGGCACACAAGTAACTAATAGTGTTAACAGTGGCTGGGTTCCATTTCACTGTACCAGTCATCCAGCATATCATTGCATTGATATTGATACACATCATTAATTTGCACCTGTGTTTGGTAGGATCAAGCCCACTGTAAGAAAGGACTATAATTATTATTACCCCTTCTTTACTTTTTTATGCCATATAGACTTACATTTTTGTATCTAAAATAATTACAAAGCTTGTAATTAATACTCAGTTCTTACTAATATGTTTTACTTATAAATAAATAAATACATTTACTTGTAAAAAAAAAAGAGACTAGGCAAAAAGACAGGCAGACAGAAATAGTGAACATGACAGAGAGAGAAAATGCCAGACGGAGGACGACAGACATATAGAGTTAAAAATTTGGCTCACCAAAGTAGACGGGCTTCCCACAGATTGGACAGTAGCCTACCATGATTGTATATAGTTATTTATTGTACACTGTTCACTTTAGTTGGAGTACTGAGAAAATAAATCTTTGACACCATACATGTGCATAAGTATGCGAAATGAAAATTGACAGGAAAACCATTAAGCTGCAGATATGCTTGCGTCTTGTGAAGTCAAAACCAGGATGTGGTGAGAGAGAGAGAGAGAGACATCAAGAAGGAAAACGGAAGAGTGAAAATTGTGATTTAAGAAGTAAATACTATCATCAGTAGGGGGAAAAAGAACCTCTCAGTAAGTTGTAATCACATAAGCACACACAAGCATTCTCTATCTATCTATCTATCTATCTATCTATCTATCTATCTATCTATCTATCTATCTATCTATCTATCTATCTATCTATCTATCTGTCTGTCTGTCTGTCTAATGGCCTTGATACTGTAAAAAGAGAAAGAGGGAGAATGAAAGACAGAGTGGTGAAGAGAAAGAGACACAAACAGCTGTCAGCAGCTCAAATTCCCACCTATCTCCTCTCCTTTCCTGCTCTTTTCACCCTCCTTTCTAGATTAAAAACAAGGAGCTAAGCCTCTGAATGGAAAAGGGAAACCTGACACTTTTGCCCTTCTTTTCTTCTTTCTGTCGATCCTCTCTCTTTTTTCCTCTGTCACATACTCACGCACATGCACGCCCCTGCTCATTGAGTCACACCGACATACACTGTATACACACACACACACACCAAAAGGCCATCCTTCTTGTCAGTGACATCACATAAAGAGGAGAGGCGAAGGCAGGTTGAGGTTGTGTTGGCTGAGGGACAGACGGGGGGATGTGTGGGTTTGTGCAGGCAGTTATCCCCTTGAGATAGGTGATGGAAGCAGACCTGGGGAAGGACAGGGGTGAGGAGGGGCAAGGATGGAGACAGTAGCCAACCTCAACTCAACAGGGACAAAGAAGATGAACTTTGATAAACTTTGCAGAACAGAAGAAAGCCACTGAGGTCACTGTGGAAGGCAAAATGTGTGGTTCAACTCCTGTCACGGTCAGTGCGAGCAATGCAACTAGATATAAAACTACACAAACTAGGAAACTAATAAGTTACTTCATTACAAGGAAGAGTTTGGCATGCAAAATTTTTGTATCAAAAGTAAATGTGGTGATAAGATAAGATAAGATAATCCTTTACTGTCACTGTAACACGTACAATGAAATTTTAAGGTAACCTCCAGTCAGTACAGCAATAGAAAAAAAAACATAACATGGTGATCATGAAAAGTTACCCTTGTTATTAGTTATTTTTGGATTACAGTGACATGTGTAGAATGCTATAGCTGATTATTTGCTTTCAGACCCTTAAGTGGGATCTACACCAGTTGTACATATACGGTATTTATACACCCTAGTGCAGTATTAACCAAGGTCATGTTAAGGGCCTCAAACAGCTGCAGCTGTAAGTTCTTCATGTCAAATGGAGAAATTTAAAAGGGTAACATATCTGTCTGCAGTGAGTGTCCATGTGAAAAACATGAGTAACTTGAATAAGTTTATTATTTCAAGTTCACTCAACAAAGGATTTGCTGTTTTGCAGACTTGCACTTATGATTTGGCAAAAGTTTTAATATCAAATTTGTCAATTTAAGCAATGTAGGTACAACTTATTAAATTAGTTCAACTAAAAATACTTAAGTTTTTTTTTGACAACATGAATAATAACACATTTACAGGACAAAGTACATAACATAGAGGATGAGACATAAAAGAGACAAAGGGATTATTAAATTAAGTTATGTGTGAAAATGTGTAGTGTGGCTGTATCCAACTCTATGCACACTGATATTCAGTACATGTTAAAGAAAAATAAAATTAAACCAAATAAAGGTATAAATAAAGGAGGGTGGAGGAGGGGGTGTTAAATCAACAAAGGACCAGGAGTGGTGATGGCCCCTGCCCTGAACCACCAGCATCAGGTGAGACCAACACTTCGGGGGCTCTGGAGCAGCTCAGCAGGGCGAGGTCGTCCAGGGCAGCAGACTAAAAATCCTTTAGTTGAGAAAAGTTAAAAAGATGTTGCAGCTGATTGCAATACTTTTTAAAGCTTTCTCAACTCATTCATTTTTACAGTGTACATCAAAGTGTGTTTATAGGTCTTTGGGATTACTATTGCATATGCGATAAAGTAGTATAAAGCCATTTGTGTCTCCAAAAAGAGCTGTGTAAAATCTGTTAAATTGCCTCAAGTGATATCACTTGAGTCAGCATCCGTTATAACTGAAAACTATACATTTACTGTATATTTATTTTTTTATTCTGTTGGTGTGGAGTTAAAAAGATGTGAGCTCGCCAGACCTCTATAGCCCACTTTGTAGCATAATGCATCCAAATCTCTGACTGAACTGGTGATCATCAGGTTGCACTGTGAGGAATGTAGTTGCCAGGTTTTGACAAGGAGGAAGAATATATGAAAAAAAAAACCCTCTCTGGATCTGCAGAGTTGATCTGAATCCTAAGAAAACTGAATATATTAATATGCTTTAGTTTATTTGGAGATTGCTCAGTTTCATATTGTTAGTTATACTGCAGTAAAACTAGCAACCAAGTTTTGGATAAAGAACTGAGACTTAAAAGTTAATTGAATTAATGCCAATTAAATATATCTTTTTAAGCAACTGTTTATGCAAAACCACATTAATCATTTTTGATCACGGTGTAACAAATTTACAACGCACACTTATGACAACTTATGATGAAAGTTTGCTGATCTACTTTTTTTGTCTAGACTGAAAAATCTGTTTTATTTGATGGACTGCCATGATCTTTTGTGCAGACACCCATTGTCCCCTGAGGGTGTGCTGTACTGACTTAGATTATACTTTATCATTCTTCTAGTTTCACCACAGCTTTTCATGAACTGTCTTGCCAATAAGGATTACTTGAAATATGGTACTTTTCAGCTTAGGTCACCAACCATCACAATTATGACTTCTTCAGTGAAATATCTCAAAATCTGGAAGATGGATTGACATAAAGTTTGGTGCAAACATTTTGTCTGTTCCAGGATGAAATATACAACCTTTGTGAATTTCAGACAAATTATGCTTGAAACCACACATAAATTATGTCAAGCAAAGGCATCAAAGTTTGTCATAAATTTGTATAAAATTAAGGGCTTCTTAGCCACATATCTAACGCAAATTGCCAAGCCTTTGTGTACTTTCTTTTCCAAGCTTTTATTTTGAAAGAATTCTGCTGCCTCATCCAGCTCGTATGTGTTTCAGCTTTACCACTCTCATTACCAGCCTTGATCACACTCCCCTGTTTTCCATCAGTAATCAAGAGACTATGTATTGATGTATGTATTTTGCCCTTATTCCTGCCATAGTGCCTTGTTACTGTCATCTCTAATAAATTCTCCTTCACCTGGGTTGGGTTCTCTATTCCTAAAACCATCCCTAAAACCATTAGCTATCTTAAGTCTGCTTTGTAAAATCTGACACAAATTCAGTTATACTTCAAAAAGAGATATAAGAATTTTAATTGACAAAATAAAACTACTTATTAAGACCCAACCAACCTACTATACACTAACTTTAAAACTCCAAAATTCAGAGATGTGATTTAATTTTAAAATGGCACAAATCAGATCAAAAACAAACTCCACCCTGAAAGTATCCCAAAGTTACTTAAGATAATGGGAAAGCAATATGAGCTCATGGCTAAGAAACCAAGGGTCAAGCCTAATGGGTGGGTGGCTGGGGGGTATTTTAAATACTACTGGAACACATTTTATGAACTCATCATAAATAAATCCTTGATGCTTGAAAATCAATAAACCAGTGGATTATGTTTCCTTCTGAAATGTAATGGAATTGAAGCACAACATAGTTCATAATGGAGCTAGTTTAGTACGGGAAAAGTACATTAAAACTGTACTTATATACAGTACTTGAGTAAATATGCTTTCATCTAATACATGAACTTATACATACATTAATATTGTCAAACATTATGAGTACATCTGCATATCATTTCTGTTGCAGATACATTTCAAAAGGTCTGAATGAAATATTTTCTCATTTGCATATTTGCCAGCATCCCAGTCCTGTGCTTTGCAGGATGGAATACAAACTAGCTATTTCATTTGACCAGCCCTCCCTACAGGATAACTTATCACTTCTCTCCATCCTCTCCATCAGCATTCATTGTGTGTGGACAGCGCTAGGAGAGTTACATCCTGATTTGAAGGCCCAAATGCAGGCATAGCTTACATGTTTTTAATGCAAACAATGATGTTGTGAATTGAATAGAGAGCAGATAGTGAATATACAAAAAGGTGGAGACTGGTGTTTTTAGAATGTGAAGGAAAAGCTAAAAAGAGAGAAAGTAAGGATTTCCACAGGTTGGATTTGTGGGAAGGGTAGTCAAAGAAGGAACAGAGCATGGAGAAACAGAGGGAATGTAACTGAAATGGAAAGAAAACGGAAACAGGAGAAAAGACGGGGCGTAAAATCTACATTTCCCAGTGGCTCTTTTTGTTAAACTGTATTGAGGAAACTACCAAAACTCTTAACACACATTCTCGCACTGATGCACATATATGTATGGTTCACTTCTGCCAAGTTATCTGAGATGTACCAATACACACTGGATGGAAAGATGTGGGAATATTTGTGTGTGTTGGGTGTGTGAACAGGATTTATAGTAACATTCAGTAAGTAGTGGAAACAGACAGACCTCAGAGGAGAGACAGAGAGGAAGGGAAACTCTGGCTACACTCCTTCGTCTCCTCTGGTGGCTTGGATTTTGCCAAGGCCAAACCCTCCGGCACCGGCTCTGAGAATTGTGTGCTTGGAGAGGGGGGGGGACACAGGAAGAGGCTCAGGAAAGAAAATGGCTGGAAGGGTTATTTCTTCCCACACATAAATGCACTCTTGATCGCATGTGTGCACACATGAACGCACACTCAGACGCAAAGCAAGAAAGGAGGCTTTGGAAGAGTTCCTTTTCCCCCACTCACTCTCACACACCCACTCGTCATCACGTTTCATTTCTTGGCATCCTCCTTTCTCCTCCAAGCCCAGAATATGACATGGCTCTGGGGTTGTATCTTAGCTGTATACACATAATCAGCCTAGCAGTACAAGACATATGGCAAACAAAATCAAGCAGCATTTCAAACATTTAACAGATGAAGATAACCAAAGGGAGACATGATGACTTGGTTTGCAGTGCCTGTTTCAAGTACAGAGCCAAAACATGTCCTTTTCCTCTGGTAGTTTCATTTGTTGATTAAAAAATATCAAAAATATCAGTTTTCACATTTACTTTTTTGTTTGTTTGTTGTTTCTTTTATCGTGTTGTCAAAGATGGCCACATTATTTTTAGCAACCTTTGCTGTCACTGCCAAAAAAAAAAAAAAAAAAAAAAAAATCTCTCAGCCTTTGCTGTTAGAAAGCCATTCTGGTGTTCATTTGGCACAGTTGGGTGGACATTTTGGTGTGCTGTGCAGTGTGGCGGGCCAGTTCTGGGGGTGTTTTTACACAAATACCCCCTCTGTGACGGCCTTTCTGCAGTCAGACGACCTAAATGCTATAATCCTGTACTTAGGGTATCAGTGGATGGAAAAGTCAGGAAAACAAGTCCTTGTTTTTCACAATTAATCTGGAAAATCCTGTAAGTCCCCTCATGACTCTGTGTAGGGATATGATTATGGTATGGAGCCTACATGGTTAGAAACTGTGAGCGGCTGGGTCAGTCAGATTGCATTATGGGACATTTTGTTGTTTTGTATGGTATGTGCAGAACCCAGTGTGAGCATGTTATTTGTGTGTGTGTGTGTGTGTGTGCGGCATGAATTACATGTGGTGTTGATGCCACTTTGGCTTTCAGTTCTCTATGATATGCAATGCCAATCCTCTAAATGGATAATACAACTCTGGGAATGTCACACATAGCCTACAAAAGCAACAAATACTCACACAAGGCATACCATAAATACCAAGAACTTCTAGCATGAAAAGCTGCTTAAGAAAAGAAAGTAAACACAGTGAGACACAGTTGAGCACATTAGCATGCTGAGATTAGCATTTAGCTAAAAGCAACGCAGAGCTCCTAGCATGGCTGTAGACTCAGTCTTGTTTTGAGACAACACACTACAAGATATTGAAGTGTGCTAAATGATCTGAAAATATTGACTTTTTGTAAGGCACACACTGTGGCCAGCTAGTGGGCCAGTCAATACAAACTCATACTGTGTAGCTAAATATTGTTCAACTTTATTCTAAACTCTAATGGTGACTGCAGTGTTTTCAAAGATATCATACAGGTCAGGCTGAAAGGGGTGGGGGATGACATTTGTGTAGAATGCAGATGATAACCAAAACATTTCCATTTGATCAAATGATGCAGCCATGAAAAAAGCACATCTTTCTTGGGTTAAATATTTCATTCAGAGTTATCATCATATAGAAGACTTGATACAAGCGGATACATAATGATAATGATGATTTTAGCAGCTTTAAGCTACTTAAGGGGAAACAAAAAGGGAATGTGTATTTTAAGGGGATGAGATGCTCATTATACACATTTTCAAATCTCCAGAGTCAGCCTCAGTCACTCAGCAGGGTTCTGAGCATACAGTGCATGGTTCTCGAGGCTGGTCCCAGCTATTGTTTAGATCTGCTTAGGGAAACAGAGAGGCAGGCAGAAGGAAAGAAGCTAATGTGTTGCTTCTTGCCTGTGCATTCTTGGCATAACTCTTTCACCCTTTTCATTTTTTGACTGTGATTTTTTTCCCCTTTGCTTTAATAGTGCAGCCAAGGGTCCACAGCCAGCCAGGTCCCACTGCTCCAGTCTGGCTAAGCCACAGAAAGCTTGGCTTCCCCTGCTCTCTCTCTCATCCTCCATGTATATAGTACAGTATGTATCCTTCTCACTTTGTATGATTCTCTATGTTGCTCTGTCTGTCTCAGGCATCTCTTTCTTTTTTGGTTGATTTTCTGTCTTTCTGCATTGGACAATCTGTCTCTTTGTCTCAATTTTTCTTTTTGTCTTGCTCTTTACCAACAAACACACAACTCACACCACCCTCTCTCCCTGTTTCCCTGCCCGTCAGTCTGTCACAGCCAACGGACTGGTTTAGCAGGCGGGGTTCAGCTGGGCTCCATAAACACATGGCTCTCAATCTGCCTTCTTGTGTGTGCCGGAATGGTATTTCTTCTTCTATGTTGTTCATGCTCTCTGTTTAAAATGTCCTTTTTAACTTTAAGGACATGTTTAAGGACAATTTTTACAGTCAAACACATTGACTCAACAGACATATGGTGTATACTATTTGCCTCTTTGCAGCAAACTTTATATCTACTCAAACATTTCAACCCCTCTGATCATTTGAAATATCTTTATTAACAAATATAGCAAAAAAACAAGACATATTGCATAACCATTAGGTAACGCTGGAGGCATTAAAACAACCATGTGTCATCTAAACGTCATCTGCTCCTTAGAAGGCATACTCTTTTTCAAAACAATGTATGTTAGAATGTATCTAAAATAGTGTTGGCAATTTTCTCCTCTCTGCCTCTCAAGTGAAATTGAATTATAGATCAAGAACCTCTTGTGTGCAATAAAAACAGAATTCTTCAACTCAAACAAAGCCCTCTCTCTCTCTGTTCTACTATGCCCATTTCTATCTCAGCACCATTCATTCCGCCACTTAGACAGGAATCTAATTAGAACAGAATATTAGCATTAAGGCAACTATCTGCCCCCTCCTTCCTCGCCATGCCTCTCTATCTCACTCCCCCTCATTTCTCTGCTCTTCCCAACAGCTGGTGAGAGTATGGTTTGTGGCTGCCCCTCCCCCCCCATTTGAACAAGCCAATAAGAGAACTTGTCAGCAAAATCACCCCCCCACACACAGCATCGCTCCTTTCCCCTTACCACCCGATCCATTCCCAACCCCATCCCCCAGAGCCCTCTCTACACCCCATCCCCCTTTCCTACCACCCCTAACCCACTTTCTCATCCTGCCTCCACCCTCCCACACACCCACGAGACTTCCCCACCCTCTATTTTCTCTCTCACCCGTGCTCACCCTCCCTAGTAACTGCTTCCCTCGTCTCCTTCCCTTTTCCTCTCACTCTACTTCCCACTGTTTTTCCTGGCCCCTCTTTCTTCTAATTCCTTTCCCTTCCACTTGCCATTTTCCTTATGGCCATCTCTGCCGCTCCCTTTCCTTCCCCCACCTTTCCCTCTTTCCTCCCACCCTCTCTCTTCTGTGGCCTTATCTTATGAATATCGGTAGCACACTGGGTGAAAAATTGATCCTCCCTGCTTGTCTGTGGACACTGCCACAGCACATTAGCCTGTGTGTGTGTGTAGCTGCAGCTTGTGGGTGAGAAGGAGGGTGTAGAGGAGGAGTGAGGGAAGGAGGGTGGGAGGGATATTTTGCATATCATCAAAGTGGGGAAAGGGAGTGTAATGAAGAGAGAAGATGTGTGTGTGTGTGTGTGTGTGTGTGTGTGTGTGTGTGTGTGTGTCTGTCTGTGTGAGGAAGAGAGATCATCTCTAATGCCATCCATCACGCTATCTCACACCCATAGACACATCTTCATAGAATATCATTACTTCACACTATTTACACTAGTTAATATCAGAAATATTGAAATTTTTTATAGATAGGCCACATCTTTAACATTTGATACAATGGCCCTTAAATGTTTCCTTTAAAAAACATGTATGCTCTCGTTATCTTAACTAATTGCTAGAAAAAATATGAAAAATTGAAATATCCCATTGTATTTAACTATTGTCAGAACATATGCAGCTCACTTGGTTTGTTTAGGGATGAATACACATACATGCACAGACCTGTCAAAGAGAAATGTTTCTTAGATATCACATACACACTCACTTCCTTTAGTCTTGGTGGTCTTAATTGCATTAGGCTAATTTATTTCAAATTAGGACTTAATATACATTTTTCCACAGTTTTCGTTCTGTCTTATTTTCTGGCTACTGTAAAGCGTGAGCCTGTGTAACTTTGCTTACTTATTTTTAAAGCTAACTTCCGGCTACAAAGGTAACAGCTGCAATGGGTAGGCTTGGTATTTGTAAATAAATAATTTAAATCCCCTTTTAGCCTGCCTCTCTGCTATCCACAGCTTCTGATTTAACAAGCAAAACTAATCGGTTACAGATCATAAATCAATTCGTAGTACCGCCAGTAAAGAAGTCATTTAAAAGTGTGCAAATAAAAAAACACCAATTCAACACTTTAAAATATTGCTTCGTGTTCCTTTGTTCTCAATGAATAGATGGTGAAAAGTGTGTGCTATATACAGCCACAAACGTTTTCTGGTATCGATTAGTCAAGCCTGCTGATATCCAACTAGACCGTTGACGGTCTGTCACATTTCACGCTGACACCAAGCGAACATTGGGTGCATACACATAATTGCACACCGCCAGGCAGGGCTCGCAATATTATCGACAGATCCGAGTCAGGAGTACAGTCGAGGAGAGCACGTTGAAGGTAAGTTGTTGGAAAAATCTACTTAGGGAAGGGAAATTGGACCCGGTTTCAGTGGTAGACTGAGAGGCGGGGTCATTGGTTAGGATCGCGTTAATTTTAGCCGTGGTTCTTTCTTTGTAATTTTAGGTTGCCCACTTTTTATCTTTCTATGTGCGCTTTGCTGTTTGCCCCTTTACAACTGGGAAAACATTACCGACTTACTCCAACTCATTGAAATCACCAGAAACAAGTTTTAACTCAAAGCCTTTTTGTTTTGTTACTATTAAGCCAGCATTTTAAAGGGATTTAAGGCGTGGGTGGCTAGCTCCGGGATTTTTCTCTATGTTGGTCGGCGGAGGAGGAGGGTTTGGTTTGGCTTGCCAAGCTAGCGAACGACATTACGCAGGCTGATTAAACAAGTTTAAATGGTTGTTAAAGTGGACAAAGTTGCTTCAAACTTAATTCGAGGATAACTGCTGTTACGGGTAAGCTAACAGGTATAAACATACAGTTGTTTCACGGAGAGAATAAGCATTAATAACACGTTTACGGCAGTATGCTATGCGCAGTAACGTTAGCATGTCCCAACGTTAGCCTCATGTGAGCTAGCGAGCCATGACCGTACTCACTACCCGGCTGTTGTGGACTAAACGTCGCTTGTGATCCGTGAGATTTAAGGTTGCTATCATGTGGCGGCAGCGTAAGAAAAATGATGGAGTCACCGACCTCTGTCCACATTGGTGTTTAGTAACTAAACACGAGGTATCTTAATTAGTTAAAAAATACGAGGTATCATAGCTGTTGAACCAGTCTGGGGAATCGTGCTGTTGAGTAACATTGCTTCGACAAACTTGAGGGAAGTAGCAAACTCAAAGTTACAACACACACATGCTTATCAAAATAAACAGTGGAGGCAGGGTAATATTGCTTGTTTATGTGAATGGTTTAATGTGGCGAATATTTTGATTAGCGGTTTCAGTAGAAAGTACCCCACAGCTCGGTTGTAACTCTCCGACTTTGTATTTTAAACAGTGCCTAAAAGCTGCTTCAGTGAGAGAAAACGCAGAAAAAGGATAACAGAGGAAATCCCCCGAAAGGAAATGCCAATCGCAACCGCTGGCCAGCCAACGACCCAGGAGCCTAGAGTTTGCCCCCGGCTGCCCTCCACCCCGGAGCCTGTCCCTAAAGGAGCTGATTTATTTGACGAGGCGGGGGCGGCGGAGTCTGCGGAGCGAGTAGAGTACGGGGGCGCGGAGGGGGCCAGAGGACTCGGGGGCTATAGTTACAGCCAGAGCGGCGCTAGGGGGTTTGTACAGCCCAGATCGACTAACGGCTCTCCGCCGCAGTCCCCAGCCGCGTCCTCCTCTTTTCTTTTCCATCCCCTTCACCCACACCAAATGGCCATGGAGCCCCCAAGGACTCGATCGCGTTCTCGGTCTGGATATTACCAGCAGTATGGTGGTGGGAATGGCAATGGAATAACCGGCAGCGGAGTAATGGTATCTAACCCTCACCACCAACATCAGCAGCAGCAACTACATCCACAGCAGCAGCACGGTGCTGGCTGCGCACCCCTTGGAGCTCACAGCAACCACTCGGAGAACCAGCAGCGAAACCCAGGAAGCAACGCTTCTCCCGGCATCCAGAGGCTTTCCTCGGTTCCCGGAGCGCACCACATCCAGGCGGCAGGTAAATATCCCCACTTGTCATTGTGTCCGACTGTGTATATGGCCGTGTAACCTCGACTGACAGAGTTAAAGGAGTAATGCACTTTTTTTTATTTACTTTTTTTCTTCATATCAGCAGCAGGTAGGAGTGATAGAAGTCGAGGTGTTGGTGGTGTTTTGGGAGGCAAACTGAGTGGGAGGTGGGTGCATGACAGAAGTGCTCTGTGCATGTATTCTAATTAGACAGGGTGTTGTATGTTCTTGCCAAAGAACAGTAGTGTGGATGTGGTGCACACACAATAGGTAAATGAACAGCAGCAGCTGATCGAGCTGCTGTGCATAGTTGGTTACCCAGGCTGTGTTTCTTAAGGCACTGTGGCATGTCTGCTTTTAGTCAACTACACAAATATTGGTGTAACCGGGTAACAAGCCTGACGGTGTGTACAGGCTAATCTAATCTAGGCATGGTCTATTCTTTTTCAGTCTCTCAAGATGGCCAGATAACCTGGGGGGTTTGATATTGTGGGCTTCAAATATAAAGTTGTGAATGTGTAAAAAAGACATGACACTTTTCATAGATTTCTGCAGTGATACTCAAGTTCATTTTAAGTACAGCCCTGTTCAGTGGGCGGATGGCATTAACTGTTAACATAATGTACACACATTAAAACAAAGTATTGTAAATCCTCACATTCTTTAGACAAGAGAATCAGCTAAATCACAAAATGGGATGTGTCAGAAGAGGCTGGTCTTACAGTCTCTTTAGGATTGTAAGAGCATATTCTGTATCAGATGGAGGTTTTCCATACTAGTAACTACCTGGGCGATCAGTGCTTTGATAGTGGCATTTCAGTGCAGAGGAAAACATAGCAACAAGAGCGTGCATGGACTGGTGCTGGGTGTAGAATACATGTGAGGGTACCCTCACACAGCAAATACAGTGCAGTGAACCACACAGCACAGAAGCAGCACAGCTAGAGTTTCACTTTCAGCGAAGCTCCAGGAAAGCTTTTCTTTCAGCACAACCAACAAACAGGCTTCTCAGGTTAGGAAAATGAAGACTAACAACCCAGTCATCCTTTTTTATTGAGAAACTCATGTTTGGCAGATGATATACCTAACCCTGGAACCGACAGAAGCAATCCCAAGGTTAGCTTAGTCACTGTACATTATTTTTTGTTTTATATATATACACACACACACACACACACACACTTATTTACTTCGGACACACTATTCAGCTACACAGTAAAATGAATTTAATTGGTATAAAAGTCCAGATTCCAAGCATGCAGCACTGTGTTGGTTTTTATAAAAAAAAGATGCCTTTTTGACTGTAGCAGCTAATTGAGCTGGACTGCAGAAGTAGACTGACCCTAAAGAATAAATAAAGTTATAAAGATGATTAAAAAAAAAGTATGCAACTATAACATGTTGCATAACTAAAGCATGTTAGCAGTAGAGGAAGTATTCACATCCTTTACTTAAGTAAAAGTACTAATATCACACTGTAAAAGTAGACTACTCTGTTACAAAAAAGTCCTGCATTAATAATGAAATAATAATAATAATAATAAATGTAAGCATTAAGACAGAAATGCACTTAAAGTATTAGTAGGCTACTCGATGCAGAAAAATGCTTTATTATACAGTATTTTATTATATTTAGAACCTATCATTCATGCACTTATGTAAAAGCAGGATTTGACTGTTGGTTGAGGTGCCAGACCTGTCTGTGCCTTCATTCCAGCACACACAAACATAATCATTTATGTGAGCTGGGAAAGCTTGTGTTTCTGTGGTCAGACTGGGATCAGTGCAGTTTTTTTCTTAAGTTAGAAATTAAAAGTTTTTTTTTTTTTTTTTGTTTTGGTGGATGGATGGAGTTTGATTTTAGCCTTCTCCTCTCTGCGATTTGTCCTCTGCATGTGTGGAGTGGAGTCTGACAGGCACTCAGGGAAGAAAGGTGCACAGTGCATTGCATTTTTTTCTTCAAAAACGGTAATAAGCAAATGTGCATGGTATGATAACCATCAATTCTCATACTATGATAAACTGTAAAACCAGTATGCTGCTGCAATGTATAGCTTTGTGAAGGTTTACGGGGTTACAGCAAAAATGAAACTCATGTTTGTATGTCTGTGTTAAAAATAGAAACAGGAGAACTGAACAAAGGATTAAAAAATGAATACAAATAGAGACGAGTTTGCCAAGTCACAGTGCTTCACTACAGAGGTTGAACTAGCCATCCTCAGAGCTTAGTGATAGGCTCTGACCTATGACCCATACTCTGTCATAGTAGCTTGGCTGTGATGTGTAGGATAGCACAAATCAATGATTGACTGTATTGTGTTTCCATCCAAATGGATTTCGATCTACATGGGAGGCACTGGCTAGAAATTCTGTAGACGCTCACTCATTATCAGGACCTGCACAGCACACAAAAGAATAGCAATTCAGAAAGAGTGCAGGTACAAGAACATGAGGATAGCTTTGTGTTTGTATGTACAAGTGGTGGAGGATAAGAAAACCTGGCTGGCTGTAAGATACAAGAACAAAAAAATCTTTTAGTTGCTATGAAGATGATACTTGTGTTGTCTTAGTTTCTAAAGGAAAGTAGTAGTTGACCTCATAAACCTAATAAAAATGCAGTTGCTTTATTTTTGAGAATATTTACATTGTTGACATTTCCAATGAAAGCCTTAAGATCAACTTATAGTTGAATGTTCTCTTACACAAGTGAAGCAGCTGGCTAGCTGGATCTTTCCCAACACTGTACACCTTTTATCAGACCCTCTTTCCATTCTCAGAATGGGTTCTGCTTGTTAGGAGAGAGTGAGAGAGACGCTGAGATGCTTAGTCTATTCTTCTTGTGCTAGTCACCTGCATTGGGCATGAAAGCTAATGATATCCTGTACTCTTCAGTCCCTCCTTCTCTCTCTTGTCCTTGTAGCCTATTCTAACTCTTTTGGCCCATTTTCAGACTGGTTTCATACTGTTTGCACTGATCACACTTAATCTTTTCATTATTGTATCTCACATAGTATTTGCATTATTTTACCTATCATGTGGTGAAAGTAACGGGTTATGAGGTAAAAAGCTCATGTCTGCAGAGTTGAGATTGAAGGTGCAAAAAAGAGGCACAAATGTAGAAGGACCCAAAGTACCCAGTAAAATGCTTAAAACAGCTGCCAATTTGGTCCAAGTAGATAAAAACATCCTCTATAACAGTTGGTATCCTAACCCGATCCTGATCCACCTGTCACAGCTGGTCCGCTCTCAGTCACACTCTTTTCTCCCTCCCGTTTGGATCAGTCAGCCTTTTCCGTCCCCCTCCGGTCTATTTTCTCTGGCCTCCTCCCTCACATTTGGCTAATGGAGGGATCGTTTTAATGGATTGCCCAAAGCAGCAGAGGGGCAGACGCTCCTGCCACTTTACCCTCTGCTCCACTCACTCCACTCCTATCATTTCCATTATTCTGTCTGCATCAGAAATGGAAACATTTGCTGTTTTTTGTTTGTTTGTTGTACTTTTCTTTGTCTTGTCACCCAGGCAACCTCCTTCGGTTTGAGGAACAACTCTTTCTCTTGAGTTGATCAAGTAGCAGAGCTTCCCTGCTGCTCCATCACTCCAAATAACCAACAAAGCAGTCACTTTGGTCAAGAGAAGATCCTGGGGGTTGGGAGTAGTGACCTCCAGCCCCAGAGAGGAGATGAGAGGGAGAGAAGATTAAGCTGATGCACAGAAGAAATGGCAGAAAGGAGGATGTGAATAAGTTTCATAGAATAGGGCTGGCTGTAAGGGCGTTGTGTGTATCATTGTAAGTGAAGCACAGAGAGGAAACGTGCCTCAGAGGCAGCAGTTGAGTGCGCAGCCTGGGAGGAGGTGCACATACTGTGACTGGAAATGACTGGGTGGCAGCTGATGGAGACACAGGGAGGTGTCGTCACAGACTGTTGAAGCCAAGACCAGAAGCAGTAAGGTAGTGAGCGTAGGAACAGGTATGTGTGCGAAAGGCATGAATGAGTATTAAGATAGTTTAAGGAGGAGAGAGAGAAACGGGTAGGGTTTATTTACTAGCTCTATTTGCATGTTGGCCTCCAATCCCTGTTGTTATCACTGGGAATGTCCGCCGGATGTGGCTTGGTTGTGCCATGGGTGCAACCCTGTGGTTCCAGTGTCTGCTGGATGTAGTCCCAGAGGAGTATGTCCTCGGTCAGCTGGATTTGTTGTTTTGCTGCTGTCTCTCACTGACTTTTTATTGCTTCACATCACTTTCATATTTTGTTAAAGCCTATGTCGAAGTGATCTATGGCAGGACTCCTGTTAACCCCTTGCGACAAACTGGAATATGAGTCAGTTCTCACAAACTACATCTACTAACAATTCTTGGTCTCTCACTTGTGCATTTTAAGTTTCAGTTGCTTTTGTAGTTGGTATCTTCAGATTTTGCTAGTAATCTCAACATAACTTTATTTGTGTCCTTCTCTATTTCCACACCTCTTTGTGCCTCGGTAGCAGGCTAACTGTTAAGCAATGAGTTCACATATAACTGAGTCTGTCGTACATGTTTGTACATGTTGATTGAGGTAGTATCTCCATTTGTTTTGGAAGTTTTATGGGCATGGATTTAAGAAAACATTTTTTTTTAACCTGTCTTACAGCGTAATCCATTTCTCTTCACATATGCTGAGTGTGTTCCAAACAGTTATGATTTCTCCAGTATATGGCTAAATATACTCCGTCCGTTGACAATGCAGGGCTTTGTGGAGTACGGTTGTTTAGTTCAGGCAGTTAAGTTGTATTTTGGCAAAACATATGTTTGAAACATACTGAGCATACAGATGTACAGCGTAGATGCTGCAAGATTGTTGGAGAAGTTCCAAAAAGATATATCTATGAATGCTGAAATTTCTATGCTTATTTTGAGGGGTTGACAATGCAACACTTTAAAGTTATATGTTCTCATTTTAATTGGCCATTGACAGAATGTAAAGAAGGTCTTGTAGGTCTGTTTGGAC